CATGAAACATTATCTTCAGCAAAGTTATGAATCGTCCCGTTTTGGCATGATTTCAATGAACTCATTACATAGAGAATTCATGTAGAAGAATCTTATCTGCCATTGAATATATTATAAAATGATCAATTATGACTTTACGAAATTACGAAAACAAGAACTTACAGTGGTTCGCCTCCGAATGGAGCCGCAAAATGGCTTATTCGATTTTCTTCGGTTTTGTCTCTGTTTTGGGTAGCAAGAAAGAGAATGAACCAGAGCCCGACCTCTTTGAACACCAAAGTTGGGAGGGAAAATCAGATTATCAAAGGGAACGACGTCGTATGCGCCCTTTTATTTAGTTTTATTTCATCGGGAGATTCTTGAAAAAGCCATCTTTTCTGGTTCCGCCACCGGCATCGCCTGAAGCGCCACCAATGCTTCACCGTCTATTAAAGGAACCCTCCCTGGATCCGCCGGCGCCGCCGCCGCAACCTTCCCCAAACCCACCTAACGTTATTCCAAAATATCCCCAAAACGCACTCAATCGACTGAGCTGCCAGTCCAACTTCCGGCTCATCTGCGACCACCTGGTCGACTTCACACGCCGGAGGAATCTCCCTGGAGGCCAAGCCCTCCACGCCCACGTCATAAAATCAGGCTTCGGCGCGGTCCCTCTCGTCTGCAACCACTTCATCAACTTCTACTCCAAGCTCCAGCTCCCTCACTCGTCGGAGCAGATTTTCCACGAGACCCCAGTGAAATCGTCGACCACATGGAGCTCCATCATCTCGTGCTTCTCTCAGAACGAGCTCCCCTTCCGCGGGCTCGAGTATTTCAAATTGATGCTGAAGAATAAAGGTATGGTCCCCGATGACTACATCTTCCCCTGCGCGACCAAATCGTGCGCGGTGATCAACGACCGCCGGTTGGGCCGGTCGGTGCACTGCTTGGCGATAAAGATTGGGTTTGGCCTGAACGTGCACGTGGGCAGCTCTGTGGTTGACATGTACGCCAAATGCGGGAGTTTGGTGGACGCTCGGAAGTTGTTCGACGAAATGCCTGAGAAGAACGTGGTGACTTGGAGTGGGATGATATCCGGGTACACGCAGATTGGGGAAGATGAAGAAGCCCTGAGGCTTTTTAAGGACGCGTTTTCTGAAGGTTTGGAGTACGTTAACGATTTCACGTACTCGTGCGTGATTCGTGTATGTGGGAACTTGACCCTTTACGAATTAGGCAGGCAGATCCACGCTTTATGCCTGAAAACGAACTACGACCGAAACAGCTTTGTCGGGAGTGCTTTGATCTCAATGTACTCGAAAAGTGGCGTGATCGAGTGCGCTTACAGAGTGTTTAACGAGGTTTCGGATAAGAATTTGGGTTTGTGGAACTCTATGTTGATTGCTTGCGCTCAGCACACGCACACAGAGAATGTGTTTGAATATTTCAAGAAAATGCAGAATACGGGTGTGAGGCCAAACTTCATCACGTTCCTGTGCATGCTCTATGCGTGCAGCCATGCGGGCCGAGTGAATGAAGGAAAGCGCTATTTTGCTATGATGAAGGAATACGACATAGAGCCCGGAAGTCAACACTATAGTTCAATGGTTGACCTGCTCGCACGAGCTGGCAAATTTGACGAGGCCATGAAAGTAATCAACGAGATGCCGATGCAGCCAACAGAGTCCGTCTGGGGAGCTTTGCTGACCGGGTGTCGGATTCATAAAAATACACAGCTGGCGAGCTCGGTGGCTGATAAGGTCTTTGAATCCGGGCCCGTTAGCCCGGGCCTTCATATGCTTCTGTCCAATGCTTACGCGACAGCTGGAAGGTACCAAGAGGCAGCTAATGCTAGGAAAATGCTCAAGGAGCGCGGGCAGAAAAAGGAAACGGGCTTGAGTTGGGTCGAGGAGAATAATAGGGTCCACACGTTTTCAGCAGGTGATAGAAAGCACGAATTATGTGGCGAGATTTACAGAAAACTGAAGGAATTGGGCAAAGATATGGAGAAGGCAGGTTATGTTGTGGATATGAGTGACATGTCGAAAGAAGCTGACGATGAAGAGAAAAAACTGGCGATAAGGTTTCACAGTGAGCGGTTGGCGATCGTGTTTGCGTTAATTACGTTCCCACCCGGGAGGCCGATTAGGATTATGAAGAACTTGCGTGTTTGTGGTGATTGTCATGTCGCCATAAAGTTTATGTCCAAGTGCACGGGAAGGGTTATAACGGTGAGGGATAATACTCGGTTTCATAGGTTCGAGAATGGGGAGTGTTCTTGTGGTGATTATTGGTGATTGAAATACAATGGCAATTCTT